CAGGTAAAAAGCCAGGGGAGAGAAGAGAGGGAAGGAAGGCAGAGTGAAAGCTGAAGGTGGAACAAAACACATAGCACCTGCCCCGCCTGCAGTGCACAAGGAACCACACACCCCACTCAGCACAGAGAAGGGAGGACGTGAGGATGGGTGTGGCAGGGCAGGGGCGTAGCATGCACCAGGCCCCAAGTTCAATCTCCAGCAGCAAAGGGAAATAAATAATGAAAGGATAATGTGTTTAGGGTTTTAGGTGGTGGCTGCTTACCAAAATGGACTCATGCACATATTAATATTGGCTTTTTTTTTTTCTTTTCTTTTTGTCTTTTTGAGACAGGGTCTCGCTATGCAGCTCAGGCTGGCCTTGAGCTCACTTTGTAGCCCAGGCTGGTCTCAAACTCGCAACGATCCTCCTGCCTCAGCCTCTCGAGTGCTGGGATTACAAGTGTGCACCACCACGCCCAGCAATATTAGCTTTTTTAACTTACCAGTACACCACAAGCATTTTTATAATAAAATCAATAAAGCATAAAATAAATTTAGGTAGGCAAACTGAATTACAGAGCAAGACCCTGTCTCTAAATAAATAAATAAAAGTATTCCGTCGCTGAAATAAGCATCCTTATTTTGTTTTATTTTGTTTTGTTTGAGACAGGGTCTCTAGCTGTGTAGTGTAGCTTAGGCTGGCCTTGAACTCACTTGGAAAAACTGGAAAAGGACAGGAAGTAGAGTCTCCAGGAGAAATTCAGTCCTCCTGTCACCTTGATTTTACCCCAGGGACCTGTTCCAGACTTATGACTTCCAGATCTGTAAAATAATAAATTTACGTGGCTCTAAGTCACTACACGCATGGGACTCTGTTACAGTGCCATAGGCACTGTGTACAGAAATTAATCCAGTCCCCCACAGCATGGTCCTCAGTTTCCTACTCTCTATCTAATCTTTCTACAGGGTGGCAAATTGGTGGTGCACACCTGTGATCCCAGCACTCAGGAGGCTGAGGCAGAAGGGTCAATCCCTACAAGTTCAAGGCCAGCCTGAAATACATAGTGACTTTAAGGTCAGCCTGAACTACACAGCGAGACCCTGTCTCAACCTTCCCCCCCCCATTAACCCTATTTCTTTTGGGATTTTCATCCCATTTGTGACAAACTCACAAATTTATATCTCTGATCCTTTATGTGCATTTTTCCTATTTAACACCAACAGATTTTTATTGGCTCACAGGCTCTTAGTACAGTCATTTTACCAAACATGTGCTTAGATCCTGTAGGCCTAAATTCATGTATTCAGAGCCGGGTGTAGTGGTGCATGCCTATAATCCCAGCACTCAGGAGGCTGAGGTGGGAGGACCGTTACGAGTTTGAGGCCAGCCTGGGATACAAAGTGAGCTCAAGCCCAGCCTGAAGTGCATAGCAAGACCCTGTCTCAAAAAACACCAAATAAATGAATAAATAAATTCATGCATTCAGAATGAAAAAAAACAAGTGCATGTCCACAGTTAATAATATCTAATTTCCTCTGTTCACCACTCACATAAAATCAGATATTTAGAGATGGGGATTATAGCTCAGCGGCACAAGCCCCCTGCCTGGCAAGCACAAGGTCCTGAGTTCGATTCCCGGTACGGAAAATAAAAAAATCAGATATTTAAATAGTCATCTGATCCTCACTCTTCCTGACAATGCAATTCATCAATATCTTGGGGAAAACTCAAGTTATCCCTCCACATACAGAACACAAGGGAGGCCAACCTCAGTGCCACGTGTCCCTTTACCATCGGAAGTACATCAGGGGTTCTTGACTGGGGTGAGGGGAGCTTTCCTCAGGGAACATCTGAAGACATTTTTTATTGTCTTCAGGTGAATGAGGTGTGAATGACCTACTGGCATCTCACAGATACAGGCCAGGGGTGCTGCTAAATGTCCCCCATGCACAGGACAGTCTCCCACAACAATAAAGTGTCTGGTCGCAAATGTCAGCAGTGCCGAGGCTGAGAAACTGCTGTAGATGATTCCAAGAATCAGATGTTTTAAACAAGGGTTCGGATGGCTTTGGCAGCATTTAACACAATCTCTCAGCTAAAGGAGGCTCGGAGGCTCTTTTGATCACGCCGTTCACAATCCTTTTCCTGCACAGTTTCCATTAGTGGATTCTGTTTCAACCCCTACTACAAGCACTCCACTCCATACAGACACATTGAGTTGTTGTGTTGAGAGTCTCCAGAAAGACACTATCAAAAGAAGACAGACAGGTAAGAACGGATTTATCAGGGGAACTGGCTTGTGCTACGATGGAGGCTAGGAAGTCATATGATAGGCCATCTAAAAGCAGGAGAGCCAGGGACACCGCAGAAAGGCTGGATCCAAGTCCAAAGCTTAACAAGCAGGAAAGCTGACAATATCCCTCTCAGTTGGGGGCCAATGGCCTGAGAAATTGGGGGACCACTGAGACAAAGACCACAGAGACAGAATCCTGATGTCCAAAGGCAGGGGAAATAAAAGAACTGTCCCAGCTCCAAGACAGAAAGCAAATGCACCTTTCCTCTGCCTTTCTGTTCTATCCACACCTTTAATTAGATGATGCCTGCCCACACTGACTAAGGACAGATCTTCCTTACTCAGTTGATTGATTCAAATGTCAATCTCTTCTAGAAACACTCTCACAGACGTACCCAGAATAATGCCTTACCAACTATCTAGGTATTCCTTCATCAAATCAATCTGACACCTAAAATTAAGCAGCAGTTGCCATGTTCTCCCAAAACACACTCATGATGACAGCTGCTAGAATACTAAATTTTTCAGACATAACAAAATCATTCAGAATCTGGTTTATACCCACCCCGAATCATGTGATGTTTTGAAGATCCCTTTGGTTTCCACTTAATACATGTAAGAGCATGCACTGGGTTGAAAACCACAATCACTATGCACTAGAGACTGTCTTTAACCATGTGGACAATTATGAATCTGAACTTAACACTTCTCTGGATCCCGTGGGGGTGACTCTCCCTTTTCTGCTGATGGATTCCTGCAGTTACTGCTACAGTTCTAAAATGAGAGGTGATGGAGCGAGTTTATCTACCGGCGTCTAAAGAAATGAACTTTCCTGCTGCACACTGAACATTTCTCGAGTTGCTCTTCCACAACACAAAATTAGCTCACCAGTAAGATTCCACAGAATGTCGATGGTCTGACACCCTCTTGATGATATTAGAGGCTAGTTTCTGCTATTGGTGGCCAGTTTTATTGTTATCATTTGGTTTTGGTTTTGGTTTTGTTAAGAGTATCTATCGGGCTCTGGGAAAAGTGAGAGAAGAGGATGTTAGCTGTATCCTTCTTTTTGGGCAAATGAACAAGCAGAGAGGCAGCAACACCTTACTTTCCACATGCAGCCTTCAGTTAAGTACCACTGCAGCTCCTTCCCCGTTAAAGGATTGTTCAGTCCCACTGACACTGTATTGGTGTCACACCCTGGTTCGCCTCTTGTAAATAACCGATCTTAACAAATATTTAAATACTGATTATTTGACGGGTGAAAAGTGTTATCATGTTGTTGAATTCTCATTTTCTCATTTCTTCAACTACATTCCATGAATTTTTTTTGTCTTTTTTTTGTCTTTTTGAGACAGGGTCTCGATATGCAGTTCAGGCTGGCCTTGAGCTCACTTTGTAGCCCAGGCTGGTCTCGAACTCGCTGTGATCCTCCTGCCTCAACCTCCCGAGTGCTGGGATTACAGGTGTGCGCCACCACGTCCGGCTCCATGAATATTTAAAGTTTTAAATCTATCTGCATTTTTTAAAAATTTGACCTCTACTCACTAGATACCAATATTAACACGTCTCCCCTACTCGTGACAACCAACAATACCTACAGACTCGGCTAAATCTCTCCTGGAGGCCAAAATCACCCCCTTTTAACCAGAAGCTGAAGGCTATTGAGGCTGCACCACTCAAAAAGAGACTACAGAAATACTTAAAGAAGCCGGGC